GGATTGAACTCAGGGTCACTAGACCACGGAGCCACATCCCCAGCCCTATTTTTTGTATTTTATTTAGAGTTGTTTAGTGCCTTGCTTTTACTGAGAATGGCTTTGAACTCACGTTACTCCTGCCTCAGCTTCTTGAGCCACTGGGATTACAGGCATGTGCCACAGCACCCAGCCTTATATTCTTAGTACATGTTTTAGTTAATTTGTTGCAACTGTGACTAAAAGACCTGACAAGAATAATTTTAGGAGGAAAGTTTATTTGGARGCTCATGGTTTCAGAGGTCTCTGTCCACAAATAATTGGCTCTATTCCTCAGGAATGGAGATAAAACTGAACATCACGGCAGAAAGGTGTGGCAAAGAGAAGCGTCTCACATGATGATCAGCAAGGAGACAGAGAGAGACTCTACTCTCCAGATACAAAATATATACTCCAAGGTATGTCCCCCCACCTCCAGCCTCACCTACCTGCCTTTAGTTACCACTCAGTTAATTCCATCAGGGGATAAATTCACCAATTGGTTAAGGCTCTCATTACCCAATCATTCCACCTCTGAATGTTCTTGCATGTCTCAAACATAAGCTTCTGGAGGACATCTAATGCCCAAACCATAACAGCCAATAAATATAGAAAACATAAATATTGCAATTTGAAAATAAACTCCAAGGAAAACCCGTTCTAATACTAAGCTCTCCAAAGAAAAGCAGGCTATCTAAACCAATTAAAAAAAAAAAAAAACAAAAAAAACTCTAAAAGTTAAATAATTTGTCCAAAATCCATGAAGAATCTTCTCCTCTAAAATGCTTCCCAGACAAGACAGTACAGTGAAGAAACACAGGACTAATTTTAGAAGGCTGAGGTTCAAATAATTCAGTTTGTTACCATCCTTTGTAACATTGAGCAAATCATTTCAACTCTCCAAGCCTCACTTCTATATTTGCTTAAATTCCTTGCCACACAGAAGGAAAGATATTGTTGAGATCAAAATAAGAACATCTGGAGGCTGGGGCTGTAGCTCAGTGGTAAAGTGCCTGCCTCACATGTGTAAGGCACTGGGTTCAATCCTCAGCTCCATATAAAAATAAACATGCTGGGCTGGGGATGTGGCTCAAGCGGTAGTGTGCTCGCCTGGCATGCGTGCGGCCCGGGTTCGATCCTCAGCACCACATACAAACAAAGATGTTATGTCTGCCGAAAACTAAAAAATACAAAGTTAAAAATTCTCTCTCTCTTTAAAAAAAAAAAGTTTAAAAAAAATAAATAAACATGCTGTATGTTTATCTACAACTAAAAAAATATTTATAAAAGAACATCTGATCAGGTATGATGGTGCATGCTTCTAAATCCCAGAAACTCAGATGGCTGAGGCAGTGGTGCATGCTTCTAAATCCCAGAAACTCAGATGGCTGAGGCAGGAGGATTGCAAGTCAAGGACAGCCTCAGCAATTTAGTGAGACCTTATTTCAAAATAAAAAAGGTATTGTGTGTCCACCTACAACTAAAAAATAAATATTAAAAAAAAAAAAAAAGACCAGGTGTGGTAGCACATGCCTATAATCCTAGCAACTTGGGAGGCTGAGGCAGAAGGATCACAAGTTCAAAGCTAGTTTCAGCAACTTAGCAAGACCATCTCAAAAAAAGGACTAAGGATGTGGCTTGGTGTTAAATGTCCCTAGGTTCAGTCCCCAGTACAAAAAAATAAAAATAAATAAATAAATAAAAAGGGCTGAGGTGCTCAGTGTAGAGTACCCCTGGGTTCAATTCCCAGCACCACACAAACATATAAAAGAACATCTGGGGGTTGGGGTTGTGGCTCAGCAGCAAAGTGCTCACCTAGCACGTGTGAGGCCCTAGGTTCAATCCTCAGCACCACATAAAAATAAAATAAAGATATTGTGTCCAACTACAACTAAAAAATAAATAAATAATAAAAAAGCACTACATAAACATAGAAAACATTAATAATTCTCACCTTATTTGTGGTGTGATAATTCCTACTTTGCTGCACATCTGTTCCAGGAATCTGTTCTGACCCACCACAGGTTCGGGACTGGCTCATCTGGGGCAACTGGGATATAAAAAAACAAACATAAGCAAYAATGAACATGCACTTAGAGAGTTAATCTGAGAAAACTGCTTTAAAATAGGACTACAACCTATCCAACCCTGTTTAACATAGTTCCTGGTGATGTGATCACCAAGAGGACCCAAGATCAGCCCCTGAAATGGTGTCTCATACATGGTAGGTGCTCAATAGATACCTAATAAATACTTGAAGAAATAAAAGGATTCAGCCCTGGAAACATGGAATTAAATCTGAGTCAACTTTAGGAAACAGAATTATAGATTATAGATACTTATTTTATATATATATATATATACACTATACTATTATACTAATTATACTACATATATAGTACTAATTATAGATACTTATTATAATTCTGTTTCCTAAAGTTGACTCAGATTTAGTATCTAAATATCAGCAGCTGTGCAGTACACAGAGGTAAAAAACCCAAAGACATTAAGTTTAAATTTAAAACCTGTTTCAGTCACCTACAAGCTCAGTGGCTATGGGTAACTTACTGAATCTCATTTATTGCAGTGAGGATTAAAGGGGACAATTATATAAAGTGCCTCTCACAAAATAGATATTCAATAAACAGAAATTTGCATCACCAACATCATCATCAACATCATTGTTCAGACCATAACTGGTTTCCTTTTATGTTCACACAGCATTTGAAAACAATTTGGTAATTAATAGCTACTATTTATAATTATTATGTGCCATGTACTATGCTAACTGCCATATAAAAATCCTTCTATCCTTCTTTAATCTTCACCACAACTTTACTAGATTGCTGTTTTTATTAAGAACAATACACAGTTTTGGAAACATAAAAAAGAAAACTACATGCAAGAGATCTTCATTGTAGCATTACTTACAAGAGTGAAAACTGAGGGGAAAGTCCAATGAGGAGAGTTAATTAAACTAAGGCACTCAATGGATAATCAGGTAACCACTGCTATTTTTAACAGGCTTTTTAAAGCAGTTTTTAGGTTCATAGCAAAATCCAGCAAGAAGCACAGAGTTCCCACATGCCCTCTTCCCCATAACGCACAACTTCCCCCATTAACAACATGTCACACCAAAGTAGTACATTTCTTAAAATGTACCCTGTCCCATTCTAGCACCCAAAGTCATGGTTACATTAGAAATTATTATTTTAACACAAAAATGCTAATAATATGGATAAAATTATAGGCAAAACCATAAATGTATATGGGTAAATCTAGGAAGCAACACACAGAAAAAGGGTCATTTTGTTACATTAGAATTATGGGTAATAGCTAGGATGTGCCTCGGTGGTAGAGTGCTTGCCTAGTATGTATGGAGCTGTGGGTTCAATCCCCAGTACTGGTGGGAGAAAAAAGAACTGTGACTAAGTTTAGGAATCTAGTTTCCAAACCCTCAGTAAGTTTTATTACCTTTACAATAAAAAAGGGTGGGGAGGGAGCAGGAAGAGAGTTAATCCCTCAACTCTGGTTTATTCCAAGAAGAGATGGGACACATGGAATGAAAATGATTTTCCTCTTTAATCTTAATGAAGGAAAATAGAATTTCTAATTGTGGAACATTACTATTCACATTTCTTTCCAAACAAGGATATTAAAAGATTAGTCAGAATCCTTCTGGTAAGTCCCAGGGACACTTGGGCTTTATTTAATTCCTGAGTATCAAGCAGGCTTTATAAAACAGGGACTAAACAGAACACCTCCCATGACATCACACACATCATTATAATAGTCCATCTAGAACACAATAGTCCATCTAGAATGCAAAGCATTTAAACCAGTTCAAAGAACACAACCAAGAACAGTTTCAATAAGCTGTGCTTCAGACTAATTTCTCTTTCTATTAAGTTGTATAATCTTTCTCTGGCCCACAGCTCTAAGAATAATCAATGGATTTCTTCTCTGACTGCACCATCACCTACTGTATTTTTGTACCTCCTTTATTAATAAGTAAAAACATTTCACACTATCCTGAACTACTGAAGTATCTATGTACTTAGTACCAAGGACAACATCTAACTGTCCCACACCTATACTTATCTATAAACATACATACTTTTTTGTACTACCCACTCTTGCCTTTGCTCTCTCAAAAAGATTCATTTGACCATTTAAGACCTCAATTTTTTGTTTTAATTGAAAGAACATCTATAAATAACTTTTTAAAAGACAACAGATAACATGAAATACTGTCACTTTTTTCAAAGAGGCTTTCTCTGAACACCTTATCTAAAAACAGGTTCCTTTCAACCTGTTATTCTCTGTCATAGTATCAGTCTATTCATTTCCTTGATGGTCTCACTATAATGTATAATTACATATTTATTCATGTATTTGTTTACTCTCAATCACCACTACCCAAAAATAAACATCAGGATAAGAAGGAGGTATCACTAGAATCAAGTACAGTGCATTACACAAGGGAAACCCTCAAATATATTGAGTGAATGAATCTTATACCTGTACACTTTTTTACTTCTGATTATTTCCTTCCTGATCTTATCTACACATTCATCAAATAATATATGCTTCATTCTCCCAACCTCTATTAAATGCCCAGGATATGCCAGTCCTTATGCAGGATTCTGGATACAGACAGAATCCTCATTCTCAAAGGACTCATAATCTTGTGAAGAAGAGGAAAAACTTTACCGAATATCACATTTTAAATTGTCACTCATCACAAAACAAACAAACAAACAAAAATAACCCAAGCGTTAGCAAGAACATAGAGCAACTAGAACTCTCAGACACTGCTGGTGGGAGTGTAAAATGTTAAGTCACTTTGGAAAAATACTTGGCAGTATCTACTTAAACTGAATGTATATACAACCTCTAAGACTCAGCAATTCTCTTTCATTACCAAACAGAAATATATACATATGTTCACTAAAACATGTGAACAAGAATGATTATAGCAACATTATTCATAAAAGCCCCAAAATTGAAGCAACCAAATTATTCATCAATGAAATAGATAAATAAACTGTGGCATATTCATATAATAAAATACTATACAATGAGAATTAATAAACTATAACTACAAAAAAACAACATGGATGAATTTGTAGAACAAGTCTGAGTGACAGCAGACAAACAAACTACATACTATATGTATGTAAACAAAGGCAAACTAATCTACAGTATTCAAAATGAAGACTAGTTAACCCTGGTGGAGGCAGTGACTAGAAAGGGATGGAGGTGTCTGTAGTCCAGGTAATGTTCTTCCTCCATGTGGATGYTGGGTACGTTTACTTTGTAATAATTCACTAAGCTATACGCATATGACTTGTGCCATTTTCTATCACTTATATCTCAATAAAATGTAAAAAAAATGCTTAAAAAGATGTGAAATAAGCAGTGTGAACAATATAAATTTGGAAATGAAAAAGAATAACCTGGAGTCATTCTAGAAGAGGACAAGATAAAGAAGAAAAAATGAGGAAGCCTCGTGCAGTGGAAAGAGAATACAGAGTCAGAGATTTAGACTGAAGCTCCACTTCTGTCCGTCTTTTAAAAACAAATGAAACAACATAAAAGGGGTGTGCAAACTACATCACATAACAAAAGTAAAGACCTGTTCTAGATATCTACAGTGATAAACTCTTTTGCAGTTGGCCCCTGGTTAAAAGGAACGTAAGATCTCATCTGTTTTTAACTGCTTTAGTACTGGAAATTGAACACGAGGCACTTTACCACTGAGTTACATCCCCAGCCCTTTTATTTTTTATTTTGAGACAGGGTCTTCTAAGTTGCTTAGAGCCTTGCTGAGGCTGGCCTCAAACTTCTGATCCTCCAGCTTTAGCCTCCTGAGTCTCTGGAATTACAGATGTGGGCCACCTCACCCAGCTAAAATTTCACCTTTATTTTTGCTTTCAAAAGAGTTCTTGGAGCTGGAATTATAGCTCAGTGGTAGAGCGCTTGCCTAGCATGTATGAGGCACTGTGTTCAATCCTCAGCACCACAGAAAAATAAATAAAGACGTTGTGTCTATATACAACAAAAAACATAATTTTWWWAAAAAAAGAGTTCTGAAAATCAAGAGACTTCTTTGATGAGAGACAGAGAAAGAGAAACAGACTGAAGCAATTCTTAAATGCCATAGAGGTGTGTGTGTCTTATAGTTTAGCAAAACTATAAGATCCACCAGGGCACAGGCCATCTTCCACCTCTTTTATTTTCTGTCCCAAAGCTCAACACTATTCTGGGCATGTAGTCAGTATTCAATAAAAACTAGGTGGATTTTTCTTCTATTTTTTTTTTTTTCAAAGAGAGGGATAACCTGGAGAAGGTCCAAAAAAGAACCACAGGAATGATCAAAGGGATGAATAAAAGGTCCTAGTAGAAGGTTAAAATGAATTGAATCTGTTTAGCTTGGAGAAAAGGCAACTAAAGAATTAAAGAGTAACTTAGAATAACACTTGAGCTGGAAGAAATCTCAGTGATCTTCTAGTCTAACCTTTTTTCACTTCACAGATGAGGAAACTAAAACCAAGGGAGAGGTTACAACTTGGTAAAGGTAGTTTTAGGACAAAAAAAAAAAAAATTGAGGTTCATTTCATACCTAAAGAGAAAACTCACACAAGTAACATGAAAATGCAGAGCAATAAAACTTGCAATTATAACCTACTGAAGCTCTCCTGTGTACCCAGAACCTTTATGTCTTACTTATTTCATAACAACTTTGTTCAGCTAATACTATTTCTTACCCATTTTAAAAATTAGGACACTAAATACAGTTCATTAAGGATTGCTATGTTCTGTCCCTTCTAATAAGCTACCTTAAAAAACCTGAGTACAGTTCAACAACACAGGTTCAGGCACATTTAACAACCAGATAATTTTATTGGAGAATAATATTTAGAAATACCCTTCTCCATTAAAAGGAACCAAGGTTCCTTGAAGAAATGATTGGATCTAGAGTTAGAATAAGGAAAATATAACCTAAAACATCTTGTGGTACAAGGAAATAAGGGAGCATTCAAAAAATGATGAGGGCATGGGGAAAGAAAATTGAAGGTGTTCTCATTAGCCAATATTGTGACAAATGGATCAATAAAACAACTAATTAGAAAATGGATTATAAATCATGGAAGAAAATAAACATTCATGAGTTCATACTGATATAAATAATTGAGTAAGTAAATAAGTAGGGAAGAACTGACAGATCTTCCTTACAAAAGACTCTAGTTAATAAATGTAAGAATGATGGAAATAGAAAATACTAGGCAAACACCACAGTAATAACTGTTGTAATCAGAAACCATCAATAGAGCAATCATACATAGCTAGGCATAGTGGCACATAACAAAATAACAAAAGTTCCTTAACAAATTAGAGGCCAGTCTGGACAGCTCAGCAAAATCTTGTCTCAAAATAATAGCTGGGAACCTAGCTCAGTGGTAGAGTGCCTCTGGGTTTAATCCCCAATAGCAAACAAACAAACAAATAAAAAATTATCATATTATCATATAATCCAGCTAACCCAGCAATCCAATCTGGGCATACATCCAAAAGAATTCAAAAGATCTCACTATATTATATTATAATTCACTATAGCGGGTTTTGTTTGAGGTACTGGATATTGAACCCAGGGTGCTCCTGCACTGAGCTGCATCCTCAGCTCTTTTTTCATTTTTTATTTTGAGACAGGTCTCACACTAAGTTGCCCAGTCTGGCCTTGAACTTTCACTCCTCCTGCCTCAACCTGCAGAGTAGCTAGGATTACAGGTATGCTCCATCATGCCCAGCTCACTATAGCACTACTATGAGATGAAAGAAACCCAAATGCTCACTGACCCAAATGGATTAAAAAATGTGATGTATATGCAATGGAATATTATTCAGCCTTTAAAAGCAAAAAGTAAATCCTGTCACATGCTACAACATGGTTGAACCATAAAGACATTATACTAAGTGAGGTAAGCCAGTCTCAAAAAGTCACATACAATTCCACTTATGAGGTACCTAGAGTAATGGAACACCCTATTAAAAATAAGAAAAAAATAGGGGCTAGGGAKATGGCTCAGTAGTAGAGTACTTGCCCAGTATCATGAGGCTTGGGTTAGAACCCCAGCACCAAAAAATAAATAAAAATAAAAATAAAAAATGTGTGTTTAAGTTTATGATGGCAAAGGAGAATAATTTTAATATCAAATAAAGGCTACCTAAATAACATGCATAAAATCTGCTCTAATAAGTGAAAAGCTGGAATATAAAACTTTGTGGATATTTGTTAAGGAACTTAAGGGAAAAAAATTAGTATATACACACAAACAAAGGCAGGAAAAAAMCACTGGAGATCAAAATACCAATGTTTTCAGACGTGAAGTCATAGGTGACTTTTATTCACTTTATTACTAAAGTATTTGTATGAATAACAAAAATAAGGAGGAAATAAAGCCATTCATAATATGTCCAATATTAACTACATTATAATGAATCACGTAGTCAATAGTAAACTAAGGCCTCAAAAAATTGTTTTTTGGATTTTACATTCATAAAAAGGAAAAAGAAGAAGAACATTTCATACCCCAAATAAAAGCAGCATAAAGTTGCTTGGAAAAGAAACTGAAAAAAGTTAACTCTATGATGAATATCTGGAAAAGCTCCCCAACAGTAAAAATCATCGGACTGTAACGTGGTATCCTAGGCTAAGTTCCATTGCTGGGATATTTAGAAGCAACGCCCAAGACACCATACTGCAGGAATCAGTCCTGAGCTAGCACAGAGAGACCCAGAGCGGTCTCATGAGGTTTTTCCATCACACAATTTGGTTAGCTAATCTATAAATACATGACATTTGCACATAAACACTAGGTTTTCATATCCAGCAAAGAAACAACAAACCTTACCTGGGAAGTGCCAGACAGAGCCCGGCTCCACAGTCCTTGGGTAGGAGACACTGGTAGCAATCGGCTGCATACTGGAATCCACTGGGAGATGCTAGTCTGGTTCCTCTAGAGAAAAAAAAAAAAAAAAAAAAAAAAAAAACATTGTCAGGAACCTATATCAGACTCCATATGTAGAAGGCACAGTGTACCTGAGATATTGTGATCTACTAAGAAATTTGTATTTGGTCTTCATCTTTAATTCTAGGCAAAGAGTTCCTAAAACCCTTAAAATTTCTGAGTCATAGAAGGAAGTTTTGTGTTTATAATAAGCCCCTTTCAACTTTACCTGAGTTTACATTAATGAGATGACCCTTAGAAGATGAGAGGCTGGTTGCCAAAAGAATGAACCGCATAAATTTAGAGGGCTAGAACTTTCACTCCAACATTTAAACCTTCCAATAATCACCCAGTTACCTAGGTATATTGTTTTTACTCCATACTGTATACTACATACCCAGAAAAGGAAGAAGATATGTATAGAATAAGCAACTTCCCAATGTTACATGGTTAATAAACAGCAGGTTTAGGATTAGAACCCAGGCAGCCCAACTCCAGAATCCATGCTCACATGAAAAGGTAAAGGGATTATCTCCAAGGTCCCTTCTAGCTTTAACACTAGCCATAGGTAAGTTTTGTAGTTGTTTTGTTTGTTTTGCTTTGTTTTATGGTACCAAAGATTGAACCCAGGGGCGATTAACTATTGAGCCACATCCCCAGCTCTTCTTATACTTTATATTAAGACAGGGCCTCGATAAATTACTGAGGCTGTCCTTGAACTTAAAATCCTCCTGCCTCAGCCTCCCAAGACACTGGGATCATAGGCATGTACCACCATGCCTAGCTAGGTAGAGAACTGATTAAAACAGCGAATTGTGGAAAAAGCCAAGCACTTGGAATCAGAAAGCAATAGGATGCTTCTTGGTTCCTCTGTTCACAAGCTACATATTAGTTAACAGCCTATGTGGGGCTTGGTTATCTTTTCTGTAAAATGAAGATTAAATCCCTACTTCTCATGATTTAAAAAAAAACTAACAAATGTAGCATGCAGTATGTTCAATATTAAGTATTAAGCTAAATCTGATCTCCACTTTCCTGGGGTAGGGGTGGGATGGAGAAAGGCATTAGTATTTTAAAYATTCAGATGCTATCTAAAGTGTCTCACAGTTCTAAAATCGTAATTAACTGTTCCCTTCTAAAAGAACATTTGTAAAAGCACTATGATAATCAAACAATACACACCCAGGCAATATTATCATTTTGAATAATTTTTACTGAATTATATAGGCTTCCCTTTACCCTGCAAACTATCATAGCAGCAAGAACCATTTTCTTAAAATATTATTTTTAACCTAGCATACTGAATCCCTGTTCCTGGGGGAAAGACAGTATTAGATCCCTATAAGCCTCTGGTTACAAAATTTTTATCAACTAATAAATAGATAACTTTGTTTTATGTGTGCCCAGCTTAACAGTCATCAGCACTAATCTCACAGCCAATGGCACTACAACTCACCCATGAACAAAACTTAGATATCTGACACTTGTAAAGGATACCACAGCCTTCTAACACTTGGCCATGCTAGACAACATTCCAGCATTACATTTGGGGGCAGTTTAAACAAATATATCACCAACAAAGCACAAAATGTGAAAAACATGGTACTACACAGACCCCTAAAAGGATACTTTTTACAGTTTCAAAGTTGAAATAAGAGGGCAGAGTATTGCCTTGTTCAACTTCAGCTGGGAACAGTGTACACTAGTGGCTCAAATTTCTCACCCTGTACATGTCTGCAAATGACTAAAAGTACTTGAATTATTGATTTTATTATTACAAATAAAATTTAGCAACCAGGTAATAATTAACAAATACAGAATACATGAATAAAGATTGATTATAATCACCATATTTACTCAATAATCCCCCTGTGATACCTATATTCTGAATGCCATGGTTACTATATCAATTCCATAGTCCAAACACAGAAACTACTGTAACAAACTCCTACAGGTTACAATGTACTTTCATTATGAAGCARCAGAGAATCTCTAACCCACTCTTTGAAAAACTATTGAGCTGGGGATGCAGTTCAGTGGTACAGCACATGCCTACTATCTAAAGGCCCCGGGTTCCATCCCCAGCACCATTAAAAAAAAAAAAAAAAAAGAATTATTACTGAACACACAGCCTTCTCCCACTTTGTTGAGTTTGTCCAATATGAGTTTTCAGAAGACTGACTACATACAAGAAGGAATGATCAAAACAGTAAATACATTAAGGGGGAGGGTCAGGTTTCTATGAGAGAAAGGAGTTAATAAATATGGCAAGGAAGAAGGGTAGAATAACCCCTGTGATGGTAGATTGGATTGGATATAGAGTAATTGGTATGTTTAATATATGGACATATAATAAAGAAATGTACACATGTTCAGGTATATTATTTCCTACCTATGTCCTGATAGGGCCTAGAAGCAATGACACCCCAATAGCAATGAACAACACATCCAGATTTGCTTTCTAAATAGCAATATCTACTTGAAGGATCTCAGGCTACTCTGGGGAAAGTCAACTCCAGAATGGGGCTGATGCTCCTCAAAGCCTTGTTCTCAAAGAACACATATTATTTGATCAGCCTGACCATCCCTTCTCCTTTACTCAGCCTTCTCTTAGTACAGATCTTCATCATTCTAGGATTATTTAAATGGCTTCAGACCAACTTGAGGACTCTAATCTCAGCCCCCTCTGATTGACCCATCTACAACTCCTGCAGGAATCTATTAAAACAAAAACCTAGTAATAGGAATGAGTATTTRTTATGTACACAGCCTATAATCCCAGTGACTCCAGAGGCTGAGCCAGCAAGATCACAAGTTCAAGGCCAGCCTGAGCAAATTAGTAAAATCTTGTCTCAAAATAAAAACTGAAAGAAAAAAAAAAAAAGGCTGGGAATGTAGCTCTATGGTATAGTGTCCTGGGGGTTCAATCCTCAGTGCTGGGGAGAAGAAAAACTAAACACAAGTCTTTCCCTGATCACTTATGGTTGTGGAGGAAAAGGAACAACAAACAGGAGAAACTTACTGCAAAGAGCCACAGAGAAACTTGGGAGTGATGGATATGTTCATTACTTTTAGTGTAGTGACAGCTTTTCAGTATCAAAACTGTGTCAAAACTTATCAAATTGTACAATTAAATAGTGTAATTTATTGTGTTGTTTATTCCTCAATTTAGAAAAATTAGGGGGAAAAATAAGTGAATAAAAAAACCTTTAAAAAAAGGTTAAAACTTGCTTAAAATACTTCAAAGGCTACCCTCTGCCTTCAGAATAAAATCCATGATACCCTAAAGCATGACACTCTAGGTCTCTTCCATTTCTCTGAGTGCTCCTAATCCAGTCAAACAGATTTAGATATAGCTCCTTGATTGACTAACACTAAAATAAACTAATTCTTTTTCTCTATGGCTTTTTCCCATATCTCACTATCTCACTTACTTCAAGCATCTCCTTCCTGTCTTCAAGTGCCCTTCTATTCTGCTCCCATCTATCTGTATCTGGTATAAACTTCTAATATCACTTTCCAAGTATTCTATTAGTAGCTTTTTCTCTCTCCTATTGGATTATAAATTTGAATTAAGGTTTGGATTTTTCATGCAGTGCTTTGTGTAGTTCCTAAAATGTAGTGAACACCCAAAACAGTTGCTGAATTAAAAAGGAAGGAATCATTTAAACATAGCAATCGATTGTCTAATCAACCCTAGCAACCTTACTGATTAAGAAAATATGAGGATTAGAGAACTTGCTCAAGGTCACATCCACCATAAGTAGTCACTTTCAACTAATCCTCAGGGAGTTTTCATTGCCTTATCACATATCACGTTACAAGAAGACCTTGAGGGCTTGGGTTGTGGCTCAGAGGTAGAGTGCTTGCCTAGCATGTGTGAGGCACTGGTTTAGATCCTCAGCACACATAAAAATAAAATAAGGATATTGTGTTCACCTATAACTAAAAAGTAAATATTAAAAAAAAAAGAAGACCTTATAGCTAGGCACTGGGAGGCTGAGGCAGGAGGATCACAAGTTCAAAGTCAGTCTCAGCAGATTAGCAAGGTATTTAGCAACTCAGTGAGACCCTGTCTCTAAATAAAATATAAAAAAAGAGCTGGGAATGTGGCTCAGTGGTTAAGAACCCCTGGATTCAATCCCTGGTACCAGGAAAAAAAAAAAAAA